AGTGAAAAACATGGTTTTTTGCTTTGCTTCTTTTGCACTGTTAGATTGTGGATTTATTGTTTATGAGTAGTTTTGACTTTTTTTTGATTTATTATTGTTTTTTTGGGAGAAACCGCTGGTTCTGCTTTTTTGCTGATGAGAGTACAAATTAGCCGAATTCGGAAGACAAAAAAGTGGGAATTTAGTCTTTGGTTTTTGGTTGGTGAGTGGTGAGTAAATGAACAGAAGCTTTGATTTTGTAAGTTCAAATTTATCATTTTAGGAAGTTTGTTTTTGGTAAAAAAACCTGATGATGAAGTTGAAGAGTATAGTGGTTGAGTAATTTCTCTTCGCTTTGTTGGTTGACCTTAGGACCTAGGCGAGGGGTAGGGGGCAAAATAATAAGTGATTAATTTTGTTTTGACTGACCCGTTGATTTGATTGTTTGGAGACTCACTTGTTTCTTTTCCTTTTTTTTTTGCAATTTAGATGACTCACCTGTTTCTTTTCCTTTTTTTTTTGCAATTTAGATTCAGTAAAGGTTCCATTTGTCTCTAGAGCTTTCTCAGTTGTGCTTTATTCGTTGCAAAATTGTGATCACAGTTGCCAGTCGTAGAAATGGCTTATATTCCCCATTTTCAAGCAGCAATAGAATGCTAGTGAAGGAGTTCAGCTTAATTCGAACAAAACTGCCAACACTTTGCCAGTCTTTGAAGTGCATCAACTTTTGTAAATTCAAGAGTAATGGCTTTGTTCTTAGTATTCTTGGACTGTTCACTCAGCAGGAGTCCTGAATATGCTTAGAGACTATAGAATGTGTAGGCTGTTTGTGTGTGTATATCAATTAATCGAGTGTTTAAGCTGGTTACTGGAGGTCGGTTTCTTTTCTACATTAGGATTTGAAGGTAGAAATTATGAATTGGTTGCTTCTCGGTACCGGCAACTGTTAACTTCTTTTAGGAGAAAATTTTTGCTTAGGATGAGTACGTTTTTGCAGGTATATTCCACTTTTGTGCAAGTAAGTTGTTTAGTTGCTGCTTCTTAAATGTCTTGCAACAAAAGCTTATTTACGAAAACTTCTAGGTATTAAAATGCTAATAATGCTTGTTAAACAGAAGGATAACATGGAGTTTTTACAGGTGGTCAAGTGTTACTAAGATTTTCTTGTTGAAATTTTTATAGCAAATCAAGTATCTTTACTAAATAACGCTGGAAATCCCTTTACAAGAATGTGCAGAAACCATGGCTGCTTTAATTATAGAATACGGTGTCTTGCGTGATTTGAGTGGCATTTTTTTTAAAGATTACCGGGTTAAACTGCGCACTGCAAAAGAAATTTTTAAGGTTTAGTACCGATTGTTTCAAGTCAGCAAAGAAAATTATATGATTGTTGAATTTATTTGCCAATATTCAAAATACTTTAGTAGGTTCCAGTTTAATTGGCTTCTCTAAAAATAACAATTCATTTTTGCAAGCAAATGGGGAGTTTGGCAATTTCTCCGAAAAAATTGCTGTAAAATTGCCGACAATAAAAAGTAGTTAATTGATTTGTTTTTGTCTTGACAGAAGAAAGAAAAAAGAGGAAAGGCACTGTTGTGCGAACAATTAGTAGTTCGGCGAACAGCAAAAAAATTTTTTTTTGTTTTTATTGTCTCTTTCAGAAACTACTAGTAGTAACAGTTTTTCAAACAGTATTTCAGAATCCCCAAGTATTTTGATGTCAACAGCGAAAAAAAAAGGCGAAACCTCGACGTTTTATACTTTTGTACCATATTTCTTCGGGCGACTTCCAGCGTTTATTTAATAAAATAGTAGGGTACGTCTGTTGATGATAAGATTGATGGCAAAAAAAAAAAAAATTTATTTAAAAATTTTTTAAAGGCTTTTACCGTTTTAAGATTACTAAAAGAAGAGAATTGAAAGGACTGGGGTCTCACGATCTTTCACGGCAAAGTACAAAAAATTGGATATTATATGTATTTCCCGTGAGACTTTGCTATCGCTTAAAGTTGGAGAATTCACTGGACATTGTAAAGACGGTAGTGAAGCGCATTATTCTCTGCCATGTTGTGCACAAACATCAATCACTGAGTCAGGTATTTTGCTTTTTAATGGGGGAACATCGTCGCCATTTTCATAAAGACGTTTTAACAGCGCATCCAAACTTTTCCTTGAAAACTTTAAAGAACTACTTTTTTTTGCGCAGTAATGGTGAAAAGAGATGGCATTAACCACTAGATGAAAGTTGCTCAGAGCTGTATATGGGACCGACAGTTTTGATTTATTCTATTCCGCTGTCCCCCTCCCACCGCTTACAGGCGTTCACAATTGTCTCGAAATGAAGGCGGTATATACAAATATCACGACGGCACATTTTCGTGGGGCTTTCCAAATTATATGAAAAAGAGCCATCTACCTGCTTTTAAAGATTAATCATTATAAACAAGAAAATTTTGCAACAACTTCCTCTCAGTTGGGAGGGCGGAAAGGGGATCAGAAAATTTTAGACATCCCCTAAGTTGACTTATATTACTGGGCAGGTGTTGACTTTGAGGAAGTGATGCAGAATTGTTACTAAAAACAACTTGTTTTAGACAAAAGGCATAGTGTACTCTAATGTAGGTGGGGCTGCTCAGGTACACACATGATATCTGCGGGCAAAACTTGCACAAACACCATAAATGACCCCTTCCAATAGTTTAAAAAATATAGCGTTTTAGTAATAAACACAAAAAATATTTGTTGTCACGTGTATCACTGTTTCCACAACCTAAAAATTTTAAGAAGAAATTAAGAAACAGAATACTTTTGGGTTACACGGACATCTTCTAACAAGAGAATGCTTTTTGATCGACTGTATAATTTCAAATTGAAAGAAACTTGTAGAAGTTAAGACTAGTTTAACGAGGTAAAGTCCTGTACAACAAAAAGATAATGCGGAAATCATTTGAAAGGTAAATTTTCAGCCGCTGTAAAACTTGAAAATTTTATTGTTCAGAAAAATTACTGAAGGAAAGTTTTTAAATTTAGAAATAAGAATTAAGAAAAATCGAAAATACAAACAAACGGTTGCCTAAACTTTCTTATCACTCAATTTTTTTGCTACAAACAGAATTTTAGAAATCGAAGTCGCAGAAGTTCAGAATTTTAAAAAACGAACGATTTCAGACCAATTCTTATGTACTGTGCTGCTCTTGTGACGTCATTAACAAGCAATAACGATAATAAACACTTCTTGGCGACATATTTTCAAAAACATGAAAGGAAACTTGATTTGAATTACATATGTATGCTACGTAATTACAGCCACGTTTCGCTGGACTGCGATATACTTAACAGAATCAAAGCAAAGGATTAGTGAAAAAATTAAGGTTCAAGATTTAAAATAAAAATTCCTGTATTAAACTAAAATGTATCTTCGCAGTAAAAGTCAATAGCATTACTCCAGCACCTAAAAACTAAAAAGTATTTTTGATTAAGCCACTTCAGTCTATTCTTGTTTCCTTGCCTAAGAAGCGAATAACCCCAGTAGTAAGTTTTATTTATCTTCTTAATCACCCAGGGGAACTACTAAAAAAAGGAATGGTTCTTCAAACGTGTAAAGTCGTGAACCTCATAGAACACAAAATAAACTTCAATCTTCTTTTTTATTCCAAATCGTACTTTCTGAAAGAATACATTTCAATTACTCAACTGTTGACGCTTGCAAAAATTAACACTTTCCAAAT